TCCCCACCCCTCTAAAACCCATAAATTAAAAAACAACAGTAAGGTGAGGAACTTCTCTAGGACCACCCCCACAGAAGACATCAAAGCTGGGCCTAGAATCCAGGGCCCATAGATTCTAGCTCCAGTTTTACATTATGCAGCTGTACCTACAAGATCTTCGTAAAGAAAACTAAGCCTTTTATATTTTATATAATTAATATATGTTCATATAGAAAGACTGAAAATAATTGGCATGGCTGTGAACAAGCATTTGTTAAGATTTTATTCAAAATTGTTTTGCTGCCCCTTCTTACTCCCAGAAGTCAGTTTATTATCTTTAAGGACACATCTAGTGGAGGAGATCGCATTGCCATCCTGTATGCCAAGATGTACCACTCTATTTAGAAACTTCTTGCACAGGAGGACAGAGTCTTTAAAAGGGTTAGTGCTTATCCTATAAAGACCAATATGAACAGTAATAAATGATTGAAAAACATTTTCTCTTTTCAGTATCTTTCCAGTAGGTTTCTTCTGGTAACATATGAAATAATATCAGCTTCATAATGTTGGAATATGAAAGGCCTAGATTTGGATCATGGTTCTGCCAGTCAGTGGTTGTGTAAACTTGAGCAAGTGATTTCATCTATCTGAGAATCAGTTTTTTTCTCTTTAGTAAAATGGCTTTAATAATCTCCTTTTTACATACCTCACAGGGTTGCTTTAAAATTCAAATGAAATCCAGTCTGTCAACCATAATGTGATATTTTAGTGTTAGGTGCTTTTAACTAGTCTGAAGTGTGTGTGCAAAGCTACTGAGATTCAACAGTATTTGGATATAGTCAAATCTCCTTGCTTTATTCACCTTACTAGGAGGGAAAATGTATTCCAGGGTTTTCTTTCTCTGTCTTTAGTGCCCTGGAATCTAAACAGGAGTGCACAGATCCCAAATTGCATTTATAGCAACCAAGAAGACAGCTATAAATGTGAAGTGATATGAGGAGTGCTATCCAGAAAGTAGTCCAGGACCTGTCCTCTCTCCTTCCCCTCCAAGAAATCTGGAGCTTAACTATTACATGTCTTTGGTGTTTCTCTAGGAGGATGCTAGGAGGCTTAGCAAGGCATTTTCCTCTTGACTCTCTCTCCTGAAATTGTTCTCTCCTTAGGTTTTAAAGATCGAAGGATACAGAAGGGTTTTTGTGGAGAATAATGCTAGAACATGGGCCCACTGAGTGGACCTTTACCAGCTTGATTATGGCAGACTTAATACAAATATATTGTTTATCTAAGTGGAAGCAAGGGCCAGCATGGAAACCTCTCTCAGTCAAATACTCATGGGTATATATGCATATGCAAAATTTTTCCTTTTAAAAGAAAAGATTGTTACAGCAGACTCTAACAGATGTCATATAGAGAGCTAATTTCCTGTAGCCTCACATTGCTAATGTCATTGCTGCTTTACTTAACATACCAATCTATTAATCTTACACATGTTTTTCACGCTTTGCTTAAAGCAGGGGTGGGGAACCTTTTTTTAATATATATTTTTTAATTGATTAAGATATTACATATGTGTCTTTATCCCCACGTTACCCCCTATCCCTCCGCTCATGCCCTCATCCCCCTGTTGTCCGTGTCCATTGGTTAGGCCTATATACTTGCATATAAGTCCTTTAGTTGATCTCTCCCCCTTACCCCCACCCTCCCCTACTGTCCCTCCAAGGCCCGACAGTCCAATCAATGCCTCTCTGTCTCTGGATCTGTCCTTGTTCATCAGTTTATGTTGTTCATTATATTCCACAAATGAGTGAGATCATGTGGTATTTATCCTTCTCTGACCGGCTTATTTCACTTAGCATAATGCTCTCCAGTTCCATCCATGCTGTGGCAAATGGTAAGAATTCCTTCTTTTTTACAGCAGTGTAGTATTCCATTGTGTAGATGTACCACAGTTTTCTAATCCATTCATCTGTTGATGGGCACTTAGGCTGTTTCCAAATCTTAGCTATGATAAATTGTGCTGCTATGAACATAGGGATGCATCTATCCTTTCTGATTGGTGTTTCTGGTTTCTTGGGATATATTCCTAGAAGTGGGATCACTGGGTCAAATGGAAGTTCCATTTTTAACTTTTTGAGGAAACTGCATACTGTTCTCCACAGTGGCTGCACCAGTGGAGAACATTCTCACCAGCAGTGCAGGAGGGTTCCTTTTTCTCCGCATCCTCTCCAGCACTTGTCGTTTGTTGATTTGTTGATGCTAGCCATTCTGACAGTTGTGAGATGGTACCTCATTGTTGTTTTGATTTTCATCTCTCGGGTGATTAGTGACTTTGAGCATGTTTTCATATGTCTCTTGGCTTTCTGAATGTCCTCTTTTGAAAAGTGTCTATTTAGGTATCTCATTGTTGTTTTGATTTGCATCTCTCGGATGATTAGTGTCTTTGAACATGTTTTCATATGTCTCTTGGCTTTCTGAATGTCCTCTTTTGAAAAGTGTCTATTTAGGTCCTTTGCCCATTTTTTGATTGTATTGTTTATCTTCCTTTTGTTAAGTTGTATGAGTTCCCTATAAATGTTGGAGATTAAACCCTTATCGGGTGATAACATTGGCAAATATGTTCTCCCATGCAGTGGGGGTTCTTGTTCTGCCAAGGGCCATTTGGATATTTATAATATCACTAGAGGCCCAGTGCATGAATTCATGCACGGGTGGGGGTCCGGCCAACCCAGCCCCTGATCAGGGTGGATTGGGGACGAGCCTGTCAGAAAGAAGAGACAGCAGGAGATTGGCCGGCCAACCTGTC